ATATATTTTCTCAGATGAGTACAAAGGCATTTTTTAAATTAAAAGAAAATGTGATACCAGTTTTTAAGCCTAAAAGAAATATACCCTTTGCTGCATTGGAATCTATGAACACTAAACTTGATAGGTTAGAAAACCGCAGAGTTATTGAAAAAATAGATTATTCAGAATGAGCCATGCCAGTGGTTTATATTAGAAAAAATAAGAAGATTGTGTTTATGTGGTTTGAATGAATGTCTCCTCCTACATGTATATCCCCTACCAACTCCAGAGGATAAATTTGCCAAATTAAATGGAAGTAAATGTTTTTTAAAATTGATCAGTCTGAGGCATTTCTTCAAATCAAAGTGGATGAGGAATGCCAGAAGTATTTGACTATTAATACACATTAAGGACTCTACAAGCGTAGAAGATTGCCCTTCAGTGTAAAAGTAGCTCCAGGTATTTTCCAGCAAATAATGAATACAATGTTGGCTGGACTGGAAAATGCTGTTGCTTACATAGATCACATACTTATTAAGAGTGCTACAAAAATACAGCATGTAAAGCAAGTATTTCAGAGACTACATGATTATGGCTTCAAACTCAGTAAACAGAAATGTCAATTCTTTATGGATAATATTAAATATTTAGGTCAGATAATTGATAACCGATCATCGTCCATTATTAAGTATGTTCGGTTCTAAGAAAGTGATTTCCACGCATACTGCAAATGGACTACAATGTTGGGTGATGATTATATTAAACTATGATTTAAAAATTTAATTTCTATTGTCGGAAAAATTGAGACACGCAAATGGCTTCTCCAGATTGATGTTGAAATAATAAAGAAGATTTTGAAGATACTTGATTGCTTCGCTGGAATGTGAAAGCAAAATTAAAAGCCTTGTTAAACACTGTTAAAGAATTGCCAGTCACTATAGACAATATCAAAATTCATTCTACAAAGGATACGTTTATTCAAAGAACTAGGAATGACGTTAAGTTGAAATGGAGTAAAAATAAAATTAAACCTGCTAACAATAATACAGCATATTGTGGTGGAGTATTTTTGCCTGTGGAAAGAGTAGTATTTCCATTATCACTACAAAAAAGGATTTTGAAACAATTCCATGTGGATAGTGAGAATGAAATCACTGATAAGAAGCTACATTTATTGTTCAAAGTTGGACAGAGATATTCAAAATACAGTTAGAAAATGTATTGGTTGTAATTCATCAGCAAAATCTCTAACTATAAATTATCAGATATGGCCAAGCACAGATAAACTGAGGACAAGACTACATATGGACTTTGCTGGACCACTAAATGGTTCATACTATTTAACTGAGTTGACAGTTTCACAAAATGGTCTGAGATATTAAAGTGTAAATGATCTACTACTACAATAATGGTTAAATTTGTATGCAAGAGAGCGACTGCAGATAAGCAACCAGTACAATTTAATTCACCAATGGACATATTTTAGGATACCTTTGAGGTACCTATTCCTAAATCTATCTATAAAACAGAAGATGTATGTGTGTGTGTCTGTGTGTCTCTATGCTATTTATGCACATCCACATTTCTTGACTGATTTCAATGAAAATATACACACATTGCAAATTTACCAAGGTAGGTCAAGACCAACTTTTCAATCTCCAGGCCCCCACGGATTTGGCAGAAATATCAATAAAACTGAAGATGGGTACAACTTTTTGCAAAAACCAAAGCAAAGTTGCACATGAACAAAATTTTTACTGGATGAGCTGATGTTCTTTACACTTAATGCAAAATATATCTCATGTTATGACTTTATGTAGAGTGCTTGATAGTTTTCCTGTGACTTTGGGTACATCCAAAAAATTGCAAAAAACTGTAAAAAAAAATGTTTTTTTAAATTACTTAAAATAAAAACTTGAATAACTTCCTCATTTTTTATCCGATTTTCTTCAAACATGTTGCAAAAAAATTGCCATCATGCAATAAATAAGATAGTGTGGTTTTAGTCCTGTTTACTTCGCTGCATATAATGAAAAACCATGAAAAATTATTCAAAAAGCCTGTTTTTTGACCATAACTTCCTGGTTTTTCATTTTTGCCATGTAAATCATATATGATTACAAATTGTCTTGCGAGAATGTTTGGTTTAGATTATTTCAGTTAAGTAGATGAAATCTTTTTGCCATTTAGCCAATAGTTTCTTCATATGACTCCATCTTAAATTGGCATTTGAACAACTTTTGATGCAAAGATTGTGAAGGATTATTGAAGCATTAAAAGGGAAAAATTCTTGAGGAACCTCTTATTAACCTCAGCTTTACAGTAAATGTGCAAAGGAGGAGGAGGAAGTTCATGCATTTGTACTTGCAGTTGAATCAAGCTCTGATGCTTCATCCCTGTTTTTGTTTGATTATTAGATTTATGAACAATTCCATACTATTTGAAAGTTATTATGGCTATAGGAAATTTACTGAATATCTAAAACATTGAAACAATTTAACCCTGAGCAATGACCACTTGGAAGGTTTTATCATTGGAATTCCTTTATTAAGAACAATCAATCACTTGCGAAGGATGTAACATAAAAATGATGTGGGTGGGGAGTAGCTTAGTATACGAACGGATTATGCATGCAAGTGGAGATGCAAGCATACATTTATAAACTAGGGGTGCGAGTATATTGGGGGAGCAGTTATACAATTGCAGCCATGTACACTCAAGCAATGCTGGGTATGTCAGCTAGTATTACAATACAATGTCAGGGTAAGTGAAAACAAAATTTGACTGAAACATTGGAAGTGGACCCATGTCAGAAAAAGTATCAACTAAAGAAATTGCATATATAAAAAGGGGTATGTTTTGGAGATAACCACATCTCTCCAGAATATGACTTGGATTCATCCAAATAGCATATATACTGATGCTGAGAATTGTCAGCAGAGCTACGTGGGCGTGAGCCTTACGTCTTTACTACAGAATTCAGTAAGACTATGTTGACTCCAAGTAACATTATAGGTTCATGATTGTCTTCATTCAGTGGCATGAAGGCATAACAATTTGCTATGCCACTATATATGTAATCATTAAAGAGAATGAAAGTTTGAATGGATTTTCAAGTAGAAATGTTCAAGACAATAAAATTAGTTTAGCCGGAAGCTTTAACTCTGCATAGTAGAAGAGTTCTCTTGACTATATGTGGTCAGGACAGGTCCATTAATCTGGAAAATGGATCATACGACATTTTCCCATGCCTTACAAAGAAAAAAAGTCCTTTAATCAAGCAGGCATCCTTTTCTGTCTGTGAGGCTGTGTCAGATTGCCAGGAGCATGATGAAGTTCTTCCTCTTTCTTGCTAGAACTGGATTTAATCCTGCTGCATTTCTGTAATCTTCTACAAGTTGCTTTGATCATCCTCTGAAATACCTGTAGGTGGGTGTGCTCTCTTCTGTGAAACCTGTTCATTACCACTCAGTGGACTAGAGCTTAAGGGTTCCTTGTAATCTTCAAAAGGAGACCATTATTCTGTTGAAGTGTCCTGCAGACAACCCTCGCTTAGGCTTGTGGGTCCCGATTCATCCCTTGCTGGAGCCAAGTTTCTTAGTGAGACTGTGTCTTCTCATCCATCAGGGTAATGAACATGCACATTCTTGATTTACCAGTAGTTCATTCTTATTCAGTCGTATGTGTCTTTATAATAATATCACTCCCGGTTTTAAGAGCGAAGGTGGTAGACATTCCAGTCGAACTTCTAGGAAATGGGAGGAATCGTTCGTGTGGTGTTGCATTAGTGGCTATATATAACAGTGTTCTAATTGGATGCAGGGCCTCTGGGAGTAATTGTTCCCAATTCTCTAAAGCTACCCCTTTATCATCAGCTGCTAGTTGAACCATTTTCCAAATAATGCCATTATACCACATGCACTAGCTGTTACCTTGAGGGTTATATGGGGTTGTTCGACTTATGATGACTCCTAGCTCTTGTAGGAATCGCTGCACATGTTCAGATAAAAATGAAGCCCCTCTGTCTAAATGAATATATCTGGAGGTTTATCGCTGGGCTTTATAGCCTACCTGATGGTAGGCATTTTTAAGCTCCAGTGAGGACAGGTTTTGCTATCATTACCTGGCAGGTAAAGGTGAGTCTATTGTTATGAGCAGAGAAACATATAAACAGAAAGTTCTTACTATTTAATATATAGATGGATTATTGTTTAATCACGTGATCAGCACACTTAATATGTTAATTTCTATCTGAAATGTTTTGATGATAGCAACAAAGATGAGGACTTTAATCTGAATGCAAATAATATCATAATTCTGCTTTTTCCTTTATTTCTTAGCATGACTATTATGTCTTGCCAATACGTTCGTTCATAGAATATCATATTTGTGAATGTTTACGTGAGTTCTTTTCTCTCAAAATCTTTGTCTGTCTAACAATGTCATGGTGAACATTTACTTGAGTCCGACCAAGTCCTTGTCACCAAAATGTTGTAACTTAGAAAAGGTTACTGAATGAGGAATAATCAAAGGAGGTTGGAAATGAAATGGTAATTTTTATAACATCAATAAAATACAATACTCGCCAGTGGCATGAAGTAGGTAAACCACTGCTAGTGGTGGACTACTTAGATAGCATATTACCCCCACTATTACAATAGTGTCCAATGTATTTATGAGGATTGGGACATACCCATTAGTGTTCATAGGTACAGTATATAACACTTACAAATTAAGATTCATCAGAAAATTCAGATAAGAAAACTCTGACATTTTCACACATATTTCTAGTCAATAATATGTTAAGTAACTTTCATGAGCTTTCAATGGTTAATATTTACAAACAATTTTGGCAAGTGCATCTGTGTTTGTTTTGAAGATGTCACTTTATCTTTAGGTTTGTTCTTATTATTGTTCTTGTTACATTATTGTTGTTTTATCTTGTTTTATTATGTTATAGTTTTGTTATATGTAGACTGTTACTTCTTTCAAAATATTCCTTTTAATTCTTTGAATTTCAGTGCGAAAATTCCTGGAGAGGATGGGCAAGACCCTTTTCTTCCGATCAGGGGGAGAGCCTCTGATTTTGAAAGAAGAACAACGAGAAGAAAGAAAACAAGGTTTAACATCTTTCTTTTTCTTTTCTTTTTTTTTTTTTTTTTTTTTTACTCATTTTAACTGAATTTTTGTCTTTTTAAAACAATTTGTAGAAATGGAAATTTGCTAATTAACAATGTATTATGCACTTTTGATCGAAAAAATCCATAACAAAATGAACTTACCTTAGTCTTTAACTAAAGTTGAATAAATTAAAAAATCCTGGACCCCAAAAATAATGTTTATAATAATAAGAAATAGTGTTGAATAAAAAATCCCTTTTTAAAAAATTACTCTCTTTTATATATATATATATATATATATATATATATATAAATGTAAAAGAACAATAGGAAAACTGTAATATTAGCCGACATTTTTCGTTGAATGTGGACTTTTTCAAGGCAAAAACAAAATAAATTTATTAAAACAAACTAACTAATAATAACAAAACAAAATGTCCTTAGCAACTGGAAGAATTTAGAAAACGCAATTCTATTCATATTGTCAATTGAAAATTATGTCAAATACTGTCACATGTGGAACTATTGTTTTTATTGTTGTGTTGATGGATTCAACCATTTTCTTTTGATTTCTTGATACATTTGTGTATGTTTGTTTGGGTGAGTAGTAATTCTGTTAGGAAAGGTGAAATAGGGAAAAAGCCTGGGCATAGATTAATATTTGGATAATATTCAATGGCAGCACTCTTGAGGATTTTCATTCTGAGTGAGTTATTTTCTTTATTTATGAGTGTAGCATTTTTAAAATCTAAATTGTGGTTAAATTTGTTTCTATATATGACTAGTGCATTAGTTGTTTTTTGTGAGTTCTCTTTTGTGTTCATAAATAATAACATAATCTGAAATAATAAATTACTTGAAAACAGATACATGATACTACCAACCAACTCTGTCACATCCACTATCCAGAACAACCTATCCCATCTAAATAATCTTAAAATAATCACAAACACTTCCAAAACCATTATGAATATACTCAGATCTTCAAACAATAATAGCAATAATATTTCTGGAGCAGGCATTTATAAAATAAATTGTCAAAACTGTTCCTCCCAATATATTGGAGAAACAAGTAGAAATTTAAAAAAACGCATTCATGAGCACAAAAGAGACCTCACAAAAAAACAGCTTAACTAATGCACTAGTCATGCATAGAAATAAATCCAACCATAATTTTGATTTTAAAAATGCCTCACTCATAAAAAAGAAAATAATTCACTCAGAAAGAAAATCCTCAAGAGTGTTGCCATTAAATATTATCCAAATATTAATCTATGCCCAGGCCTTTTCCCTATTTCACCTATATTAACAGAATTACTAATCTCCCGAACCAACAAATATATCAAGAAATCAAAAGAAAATGGTTGAATCCGTCAACGCAACAATAAAAACAATATCTCCACACATGACAGTACTTGACGTAATTTTCAGTAGACAATATGAATATAATAGCATTTTCTAAATTCTTCCAGTTGCTAAGGACATTTTGTTTAGTTATTATTAGTTACTTTATTTTAATAAATTCATTTCATTTTTGCCTTGAAAAAGTCCACATTGGATGAAACGCATTGGCTACTGGCTACTATTACAGTTTTCCTATTGTCTTTTACATTTATAAATATTGTCTTTTTCTACAGGTTAACTCTGAGAAATTTTTCATATACATACATATATATATATATATATATATATATATATATATATATATATATATATATATATATATATGTGTGTGTGTGTTAGCTTAAAACCACCCTACTGGCCCTTCAGTTTGTTCAGGAGTTTGAGAGTCCTTAAGTCTTTGTTCATTACCAGCATTTAAACCCCTCCTGGTTGTCGTTTGATCTGGGTTTTCATTTGCATGGGACTACCTTTTCCTTGCTGCAGCCTTGCCTCTTTTGATTGCAATATGGTCCTTTGTTGGCGGAGATTTCTTTTTGCGAGGCATACTGCTGCCATATGTGATAGGCAACAATAAACTACAAAAGTACTCAAAACTGATTGCTGCATTTAAGTATTGCATTAATATTTAAGCTTACCTTTTAAAAGTTCAATGATAATTCATTTGCCGCCACATAATTTAAAGACAGTTTGATGTACATAGGTCCCTACTTTCTGTACAAACAATTATGTTTTTTTTGCTGGATATCACAATTAATTTCAATTATTCCCAAATTGTAAAAATTGTTATTGTACAAAAAAATTTGTCACAAAAAATTGTGTAAAAAATTGCTGAAACCACTCATGGTAATGAAAACTTGGGAATCCAAAATTTCAAGATTGTGGGTCCAGATCTGGCTCAGAATGTTTTTAATTTGCTCACAGAGTTGGCCTGATTTCAAAATGGTATGATAGGTATGACTATGACCTTTTAGGAATAAAGTTGAAAAAATGCGACACACTGACATTTGTATTATATATATATATATATATATATATATATATGAACATTGAAGTCAACACTCAGAGGTAACAGGCTGTTTCATGGTAGACGCAATTGTCAGGCCGTAAGTGTTGGGTTTTTCCTTGACTATTTACATATACAGGTCAGTGGTGCATTGTGGTGTGGTAGTCCATTCTGGCTATTTTTTTGGTGGAAGTGATTTGTTTATTTATTTACTTGTTTTTATTTATTTTCATTTTTTATTTTGATTTATTCTTTTTGGTTTTCGATGTTTTATTAACGTAGTAAAAGATTTTTTGGGATTTGCTTAGGTCACTTATTTAATAGTTTGTTTTGGTCTGGGAAGATAATTAAATCTATTTATTCGTCCAATTTTTAGATTGATTGTTGTAGTCTGTTCTGTTATTTTGGCCAGGGGCAGTTTCTTATTTTGTTTCTTTTTTTATTTATTTATTTGGATTGATTATTTTTACTTGTTTTAGCTTATTTATTTTTATTTGTTCTAATGGTTATTTTAGCGGAAACAGTTATTTTGTTTATTTATTTACATTAATTTATTTTACTTGTTTTTCCTTATTTATTTACTAATTTTTTATTTTGCATATTTTTATTTACTCTTTTTG